TCTGCTCTTATTCAGCTTTATGGTTTTGGTGGATACGTTCCTTCTCAGAGCAGTCTTGTAAAATCCTTTCACCTCTATTTAAATGAGGAGAGAATTGATTTCTCTTATGTACATTAATAAGTTGATTTAACAGTCAAAGAGACAGTAAAGTGAGGTCAACTGAAGTCATCCAAACACAATATATTCATTGGCATGATGATCTAGAACTACAAAGTCATGTACAGAGGTGAAAGGAAACAAATGGTTATTTAACTTGCAAGAACTGCAGTAGAGAAGGGCAGGAAAAGGAGACAACGCTCTGAGCCTCTATGGTGCGGTAGGCACTGTGATAGGACCTTTGCCTGGGGCTCTTCTTACCCCCAACTTGCAGGTGAGCAAACTGAGTCCCAAAGGGTGAGGTGCTTTTATGAAAAATCATTTCCCTGAAATACACAGTTGAAGTCAGTTCTAAGTTCACACACACACACGTATCTGTCAGAAAGAATGAGGTCAAAGGATCCACATAATCTAAACTAAAAATAAATTATTCTTACATGGAACAAATGTTGAAAGGGAAGAAATCTATTCAAAAATGTTTCCTGCTCATTTTTTGTGGCTGTGAAACCTCGTGACTGGTGTGAGTGGGTGGGGAGGAGGGCCGAGCCCAGGGCCCAGCAGCTGTGAGTGCTCCGCCCACGCTGCTCTCCTGCCCAAACCACCCCACGGCTGTCATTCCACTCGGGGTGTGGCCCACGAGGCTCATGGGGGCCTCTGGCCTCACTGCTGCTTCCCTCAGTGACTCCTGGCTGGTCTCACACCCTCCCCTCTGCCCGGAACCTTGTCCCCAGATATCCTCAGGTGGTCACTCAAAAGTTACTACTTCAGTGATCCTCTTCTTGACACCCTCCCCCCAACAATTTAAAATCACAACCATTATCTCCTGGACATCCCTTAGCTCTTCCCTGCTTAATTTTTCTCCATGGCACTTATTAGCATCTAACATATTAGGTGTTTTGTTTATTCGATCTGCCCACTCAGGAATGTGAGCTCCACGTGGTTGGATTTTGTCTGTGCCATTCATGGCTGCATCTCCAGTGCCTAGGAAGTTCCAGGCAGATAACAGGAGCCTAAAAAATGAATTTGTTGAAAAATGAATGATCGTGAGTCCCTTGCTTTCTGTAAATGACATTTTTGGGATAAATGCCTGATGGACCTGTAAGATCAACCCGTTCCTGCTCTGGTCTGGGTCTGTGTGGGGAGAATCTTTTCTACTCCATCAGCTAGATAACCACTATGAGGGCCTCTCACTCCAGATCCTGCACAGGGAGCAGATGAAAACCTTCATAGGAAACGCAGCCGCTTCTTTAGAATTCACTGTTGCCTCATCACCTAGAGGTGATAGGGGTCAACTGTCACTGCACGCTCCACTGAAGGGCACTGCATACTGACCCAGAACTGGCCATTTATTTTATTTTATTATTTGTTAATTCTCACCGGAGGGTATTTTTCCATTGATTTTTAGAGAGAGCAGAAGAGATAAGGGAGAGGGGGAAAGAATAGTGATGTGGAAAGAGTGAGAGAGAGAAACATTGATCTGAGAGAGACACATCGATTGGTTGCCACCTGCACGGGCCCAGACTGGGACCTGGGACAGAACCTACAAACAAGGTACATGCCTATTAACCGGGAATCAGGCCCATGACCCTTTGGTAGGCAGGCCAATGCTCCAACCACAATGGTGTGGTGACGGGGGAGTGGTGACTGTGGTGTGGGGAGGGGGCAGGTATACCAGGGGATAGAGGGGATAAATGGTGATGGAAAAAAATTAAATTAAAAAAAAAGAAGACACTGGAACAGAATGTTAACACCCCCCTCAGAGGGGCAAGGTGTTCATTCAACACTGTGACTATTCAAAGTGCTGACCTCAGATTCACATGCAGACTGGTTTCAAAACCATTAGGACAAAATTGGATTAAAACATCTCTGTTCCTCTCTTCACTGGCCTCAGCTTCTTCCTCTTCCAATCCTGGGCATGGAGGCATTTCCCAGGGTCTGTCCTCTAGCTATATCTCTCGCCGTGGACTCAGATTGTCTCTGGGATTTTAACTCTATCCTGTATCCGGGACAGTCTCAAAATCTAGTGTTAATTTTAACCTCTCTCCTGAGATCCAGGCTTGAATTCCAACTTTCTTAACTTCAGCCGTCAATATCCCATCAATACCCCCTCAATATTTTATCAGCACCTCCTCGATATCCCCAAAGCACCCCTTAACATCTCATTACTTTAAACTCAACGTGGCCCAGACAGAATAAATTACTTCACCCTTTTAAAAATGCCTTTTCTCTCCAATTCCCTTTCTACTTTCATTACTAGCACCCTATTCCGTGAATTACTATATGGGCTCTTAACCTTCAAATCACCTTTCCGTCTTCATTCCCTCTCTCCTTTAGTCCTTCTACCTTGTGGATAAATGAGACATTCACCCACCACTGAGTAAATGCTTAGTAGGTGCCCAAGGATTGTACTAAGCCCTTTCCATGCAATAATTCTCTCCTTTAGTCCTCTGAGTAGTTCTACTAGGTCTGATTTTTATATTACCACTTTACAGAGGAGGAACATGAAGGTCAGGGAAGGTTATTCATTGGTCTCTGAGCTCCACAGCTACAAAGTGGAAGCGCAGGGGGTGGGGTGAATCCAGGTCTGTCTTAGTGCAAAGGCTCTGCTCTCAACTGCTCTGCGTTGGTGTCTTCCAACTGTGTGCCTCCCTTGGGGCCTGGCACAGGCATTTAGCAAAGGTTGGTCTTTTGCCTTCACAGGAACAGAGCCAGGCAGCTGTTGGGGCTGGATGTCCAAAGATAAATGAGATGTGGCAACTGCTTTTAAAGGGCTCAAGAGGGAGAGAGTGGCAACAACTCGTTTGCTCAATGTGATGAGGGCAATGGAAGCCCCTGGAACGAAGAAGGAGTGGGGGAAGTGGGCTCTGCTTCAGGGGCTGAGGAAGGCTTCAGGGGAACAGGGAAAGTGAGGGGTGAATGCTCCTGTGTGGCTGAAGCATTAGGCAGGACGGAGAGAAAAGCAGGCGGTACAGCTGGAAAAGCAGCCCGGAGACCAGGTTGGGAAGTGAGCTGGACATTGGTGGAGTGCCTGCTGTGAAGGGCTTGGGAGGCCCCTGTTACAGGGTCTGGATTTTATTCTGTCAACAGCGAAGACCCATCCGATATACACCTTTTAATGGAGTAGATGTAAGATCAGAATCTGTGTTTCCCAAAGTATAGATCAGGGGTCCGCAAACTGCAGCCCGCGGGCCACATGCGGCCCGCCGAAAACATTTATGCAACCCGCAGGATGTTTTTGCCGCCACTGTGTGCATAGGAATTTATTCATAGTTTTTTTTTAAACTATAGTCCGGCCCTCCAATGGTCTGAGGGACAGTGAACTGGCCCCCTGTTTAAAAAGTTTGAGGACTCCTGGTATAGATAGTGATTCTAATTGCGGTATGGACGGTGCATTAATGACAAAGTGACGGAGGCTGAGTTATTTGGGAAGCACCTGCAAAGTCCGAGAGGACATAACGATGAAACGGAGAAAAGGAGAGAGGACTGTGAATCACGGTAGAAGGGAACTGAGAGGACCAGTGGACTCGGAGGAGACAAAGAAGCAAGGCTGAGGGACAGCAGC